TAACTTATAGTGAAGAGATCTTGAAGGCTAATGACAAAGTGGCAGACGTGTAAAATTAAAGTGGCAGACGTGTAAAATTAAAGTAAATTACACGGATAGCCCCTGTGGTTTGAGATAATTTGCATATTGAATCTTAACTTTTTGGATTAATGACTTAGGAGGGTAATAAGGTTTTAACTTTGTCCAAATTAAGTCCTTAAGGTTTTTTTTGTACATATCATACCAATATGGTTGTATATAACCGTTAAGAAAAGGTAATAAGGTTTTAATTTTGTCCATATTAGGTCCCTTACATATTACACCAACATGGTTGTTATAACCGTTTAAAAAGAGGTAATAAAGTTTTAATTTTGTCCACATTAAGTCCCTATTTATAATATTTTTATCATTTCATCTAACTATTTTACAATTTATATTAGTATCTACCACAACCACGGTTTCAACTGAAATGTTACATAATAACTTTGTCATTTTTACAACAAAAAAAACTAATAATAATCACAGTCTTAATGATTAAGGCTATGTTTGGTGCGCCACAGCTAGCTGATAAGCTAATTTTATTTTTCGATCTTTTTTAAGTTGTCATGTTTGGCAAGCTAAAAAACTACTTAGACTAGTTTTTTATAAGTTTTTTTAAAATTTCCAAATGTACCCATTAATTAATTAAGAAAACATATTTTTTAAACGTCCTTTTATGTCATTATATAAATTTTAGATAGCTTATAAGCCAGTGACGAAACCATGATCAAAGTAAAAGAGTATCCCGGATAAGTAATGGTTCCGCCAATAGGGTATACCCGATACGCTATTACTTATCGGGGATACTGCATTACTTTTCGAGGATACTTTTTTACTTTGACTATGGCTCTGCCACTGGCTTATAAGTTATCTGAAATTTATATAATGACATAAAAATGCATTAAAAAAATATGTTTTCTTATTAATTAAGAGGTATACTTAGAAAATAAAAAAAAAATACTTTTAAAAAACTAGTCTAAGTAGCTTTTTAAAATGCTAGCTTATAAGCTACTTTTTGGATTACCAAACATGACAACTTAAAAAGATCGAAAAATAAACTAGCTTATCAGCTAGCTGTGGCACACCAAACATAGCTTTAATCATTAAGACTTTGATTATTATTAATTTTTTCTATAAAAATGACAAAAAATTGTTATGTAACCTTTCAACTGAAACCGTGTTGTGGTAGATGGACGGCTAAAATGAGAAGGTGAAATGATGAAGTCATCTAACTAGATATTAATACAAATTGTAAAAGAGTTAAATTAAATGATAAAAATATTAAAAATAAAAACCTAATGTGGACAAAATTAAAACCTTATTACCTCTTTTTAAACGGTTATAACAACTATGTTGGTGTAATATGTATAAAAAAAGACCTTAGGTACCTAATGTGGACAAAATTAAAACTTTATTACCTTTTTTTAACGGTTATATACAACTATATTGGTGTAATATGTACAAAGAAAAACCTTAAGGACTTAATGTGGACAAAGATAAAACCTTATTACCCTCCTAAGTCATTAACCCTAACTTTTTTTTTTAACTTTGATTTTGTTACACGCTTAAAAAAGCTTAAAAAAGAGTATATTATCCTTTTCTTTGTTTTATTTTTTAATTTTTTTTCTCTTCTTTTAATTTGTTATTTATCTTTTAAAAAAATATTTAGCAAATAAGGTACCCACCCCCATATACCTCACAGTCACTAGTCTTTCTCTTTCGTACATATTCAAGGCAAAACCACCGACCGAAAAATTGACGTCTCCGGCGATGCCATCTCCACCGGCAATACTCTCCGACGATATCAAGTCCACCATAAGATCTGATCTGGTGTTTGAAACGCTGAATTCTTGATAACCTTGACAGACATAAGTTAATCTTAGAACCCCTAATTCTTAACCTCTGTTTCATGAAATTACTGCAATGGACGCAGAAGAACATGTTAATCAAGTAACAGAAGTGGTGGTATAGCGAAAAGGGAATTTGGATTCCGATTATACTTTGAAGAAGCGGTAGAAAGATGTTAAGGGGGTGGTAAACTATACAGGATAGAGGAACAAAATGGGGGAAGGATTCCGGAGAAGATGAAGCTAGTAAGAAAGGGAAGGGTTTATTATTCATTGAATCTGGGTTTTTTTTTTTCGACTGTATTTGATTTCGTTGTCCAGTTTTTGTTTCTTTCGAGTATATTTGATTATATCTGTGTTTTTGTTAAACGATTGTATTTGTATCTGGGCTTTTTATTAGATCGCATCTAGGTTTCCTTAATTTTCGGTATCAATGTGAATGGGTTGCAGGTAAGATGAATGAGGTGGGGCAGGGACGGGGTAGCAGTGTTGCTGGACTCGCCGGAGATTGTAATTGAGTGGAGGAGACGGGAATAGGGACCAAATACATAATAAAAACACATCATAAGGACCGTCCGAGTTAAAAAATAAAGTTAGAGATCAAACACACAAATTATTCCAAACTATAGGGACTAATCGTGTAATTTACTGGTAAAATTATTTGAAGATCATGATTTTAAAGGTGAAAGTGGGAGTGTGGGACCATATATAGGAAAATCCATACTTTCAGTAACTTTCCTGTAAATAGACATATCCTGATTGGAAGTCTCGTGGTTTTTCATCCAGAAACCACTTGGAATCAGGTTTATAGATCGAGTCCACTAAACTTAGAAATCATAACCTCATTGGGTTGGGGGGATTAGTTGGCACGAGAAAGCTAACCCGAAAATCCTCGTTGCGGCAGTTCCCTTTCCAAAAGAAAGATGCAATACATGTCAATATTTGATATAAAGCATTGGATTGTAAGCGGCTAATCATGCTGGGTATATATGTCTCAATAGATTCATAAACGAACAATATTATTGTTAAGGTTGAATTTTGAATACATTTTCGGAAAGCTTGTGAAGGCATTGCTAGTGAATTGAACTAAGGTTTGAGTTGTGACAAGACTAACTCATATCACCTAAATAATTCATGTCTCTCTTTTGATTTATAACTTGTATTATACTTTCAATGGGGTTCATATGAGATTTTCTATATGGTAACCTGTTACTTCAATTATGAGTTCTAACAAGGTTTTCTACATGCATGATACCAGGTTTTATTGGAAACTCACACCACTCTCTGTATATAAAGTTCATTTCATTGAGGTGCTGAAACCACATACATTGTATCTCAACAAGTCAACACATCAATGGCATCTTCATCATCATCTTCTCCTTCTTCTCAATCGTGGAAGTACGATGTCTTTCTTAGCTTTAGAGGAGAAGATACTCGTAAGACTTTTGTTGATCATCTCTACTCAGCTCTTGATCAACAAGGGTTATACACGTACAAGGACGATAAAATGCTTCCTCGGGGTGAATCGATTGGTCCAGCCCTTATGAAGGCTATAGAAGAATCCCAGATTGCTGTCATCGTATTCTCTGAAAATTATGCAGATTCTTCATGGTGCTTAGATGAACTTGTATGTATTATGAAGTGCAAAGATACGAAAGGCCAAAGTGTTATGCCCATATTTTATCATGTGGATCCCTCTGAAGTGCGAAAACAAATACGAATATATGGAGAGGCATTTGCCAAACATGAGTCGGAGAACTACAAGAAGGTTGGATCTTGGAGAAAAGCACTTGTGGATGCAAGTAACATTTCTGGATGGGAAACCAAGCACGTTGCTAACGGGTAATTTTCTTCTTTTCCTTTTTTGCACTTTTTATGCTTAAGATATGTGTGATCACAAGACTTTACTTGCACCTTATAAGCTTTTAATATGAATGTTTTAATTATTTTTCATGATGTTGATGACCTTGATAAACAGAGGCTTTGACTGGGTCACTTGAAATAAAGTAGACATTGTCGCATGCTGAGGCTATTTAGCTTCTTGGTATACATGCATAACTATTGAGATGCTTCTACTAGATTTAGTAGCATGCTATTTAGCTTCTTGGTATACATGCATAACTATTGAGATGCTTCTACTAGATTTAGTTTCTTATGCTACTGGGCTATCATTGACACTTAACTTTAGGCTCCTTTGTGTATGACAAATATGAGAATGAGTTATAATGGATCTCACCAAGATCTAATTCTGATTCCGTACCTCAAATCGAGCTACAACCATAAATCCATCTTGCTTTTACCTTTTCATGGTTCAAACAATTGGATGTTCCCCAATAAAATTTTTATATGACAACATTATGTGGTTGGTCCATGAGGTTTGCCAAAACATGCTGGTTCAGTACAACTATCTAAGCGTCTACCATGTTGGTCCCTATGGTTTCATTTTTTGCCTGCTTGGTCCTTAACCCCTATAATAAAGACCTTTTTTTTACCCCTTGTAATTTATTTTAGACTTATCTTTTATTTAATATTAATATGTGTAGAAATTTATTCAGATATTAATTTATTTTGTTCGTCAACACACACACACACACTCAAGAGCTGAAGAACATACACTCCAGATTTCTAGGTTTAATCTTCAACACACGCTCAAGAACACACACTCCAAATTTTTGGGTTTGATCTTCAACACACACATTCCAGAAATCAACACACACATTCCAGATTTCTGGGTTTGTTTTTCAACGCACACTAACACTCCAAATTTCTGGGTTTGATCTTCAACACACACTCTAGATTTCTGGGTTTGAATAACAAATGTGTTACAAATCAAAATTTCTACATTGAAATCTCCCATCCCTATCAAGAAAAAGATCCAAAATCGTCCAATTGAGTTCCTCCCAGTGGTTGGAACTTGAGTTCAAATCTCTTTCTTGATATATTAAAATCTACACACAAAGTACTACAAAGAATTGTGGAAATGAAGGAAAAAAAGTTTCTGGAAATATATTTCCCTTTTTTTTCCTACACAAAGTACTATGATGATCTATGGACTAATACTAGTTATGTGAAGGGTTTGAAACCCTAGCTGGCCACTTCCTCAAACTAACTTCCACCGATGTCTGTGGTTTGTTCATGGCTGCACCCTTGAACTTGAGCTTTGGTGGATCTGTAGAAAGTCTGCGCATCGGAGAAGATGAAGGCGGAGGAGATCTGTGGCTGAGATTGAGATCTGGAAAGAGGCCGGCGATGTGGAGGCTGAAGGCGGCGCTGGTGATGCAGTGTCAAGGAAGAGCTGTGGATGTTGAAGGCGGCACCACTGCTGAGGATTTTGGAGGTGGTGGTGGTTCTCAAAATGAAGAGAGAAAAAGGATGAAGGTGATGGATTTAGGGCTAAGGTTAGATGAGAGGTCATTTTCTAACAATTAAAAGATTATTTTAAAATTGAAAATAAAAAATAAAAATTCATAAAAAAATCAAACAGGTGTAAAATAGTAATTTCAGATCAGTTATGAAGAAAATGAAACTGCAAGGACCATCCACGTACAGGGATGGTTTTAAACTACTTGTGATATCAACTTTACAAACTCTGTTTTGAATGTGAAATATAATGGTTAATTAGGAATCCTTTTTCATTATTTAATGGAGCATGAAACAGATTATCTCTTTTGTCAATATGGACAGATGCTAATTATCTTTGTATATCTAATATGTAGGCATGAAGCAAAGTGTATCAAAGAAATTGTTGACACAATTTCGCATAGGCTGCATTTAGTAACTCAAAGTGCAAATGAAAACCTGGTTGGAATAGAGGCTCGCATGCAAAATCTGAAATCAAAGTTACAAATTGGGTCAGGTGGGGTGCGCATGATTGGAATATGGGGGGTTGGGGGTGGTGGTAAGACTACTCTTGCATCTTCTGTATATAGTGAAATCTATCTCCACTTTGATGGTTCTTGCTTTGTTGAAAACATTCGAGAGGAATCAAGCAAGTATGGTTTGGCAAAAATGCAAGAAAAAATTCTTTCAAATGTGTTGAAACAAAAAGAAGTTAAAGTACCAAGAGTTGACGAAGGAAGACGCATGATAAAGGGCAAGTTGTGCCATAGAAAGGTCTTGGTTGTTCTTGATGATGTTAATCAGCTTGAGCAACTAAGAGCGTTAGCCGGATCACATGATTGGTTCGGTGAAGGAAGCCGAATTATAATAACAACTAGAGATGAGCATGTAGTATTAACTACTACGCCTAGAGTAGACTTGATACATAAAATTAGCTTGTTAAACGATGATGAGGCTATGGAGCTCTTTTCCAAGTATGCACCTCAGGGTCACAAACGTGTAGAAGATTATGAGCTGCTTTCAGAAGATGTGGTTTTTTATGCTGGTGGGCTCCCTTTAGCACTTACAACTCTCGGTTCCAGTCTGTGTGACAAAGACATTAATGAATGGAGGAGTGCATTAGCCAGACTGAAAGAGATTCCAAATGATGATATTTTGGAAACGCTAAAAATCAGCTTTGATGGACTTACAAAGCTTGAGAAAGATTTGTTCCTAGATATTGCATGTTTTTTTAGGAAGAAGGACAAAGATAAGGCAATGAAGACGCTTGATGCTTGTGGTCTACATCCTGTGATAGGAGTAAAGGTGTTGATACAAAAGGCTCTCATAACTATTTCACGAAATGGAGAGTTTGATATGCATGATCTGGTGCAAGAAATGGCACACTACATTGTTAGAGGGGAATACCCCAAGAATCCCGAAAAACATAGTAGAATTTGGAAGACTGAAGATGTTCTGAGAATATGTGCCCTGGATGCAACGATGGTAATAGTTAAGCTAGCTTTTCGTGATATATGCATGTTTGAACAAACACTTTTAACTCAAAGCTTGCATCATTTTGGTCCCTTGGTCACAGGAACTTGACATGATTGAAGCAATAAGACTTGATTGTAATAGTCATGATATATCACAATTGCTTCCTCCGATTGGTGCAAACATGAAAAACCTTCGATGGATTGACTGGAGATGTGATCTTGCATGTCCGTTTCCTACCAAATTTTCACCATGGAAGCTTTGTTGTCTAAGATTGGATGGCATCTCACAGAAACAGATTTGGGAGGGTTATAAGGTAATGCATATTGTTTATCTAATTAAAGGATGAAAGCAAATTGGGTGATGAATCATATAGACCTGACTAAACCTAGGAGCAAATTATAAGTAGTTATATGGATATGAGCACAATAGTTATGTCATCGCTTATTGGTGTCATAAAGCAACATCATTTGTAGTAAACCTCTATTTTCTAATAATGCTTTCTGTTTTCTAACCTGATTTTGTTTTAACTTTCATATACAACGAATTGTTATATATGGATAGTCTTCTTTTTTATTAGGAAAGATTAGATTTTCAGGAGCAAATGTGATGTATGAATTCTAAGCTCCACATAACTTGTTGTACACATTGATAACCATCCCCTAGTCCAACTTGCTTCCTGTGTCATTCGACACGAATGGCTAAACTTAGAAATAAAATTAACAAGAAGCACACGTATGCATAGAATAAATACCATATACGACTAGATTTTACTGTACTCTAACAATCATTAGACTTTTATCTAGAGAAGTATATTATTTCTCAAATATTGGTGGATTTCATTAATATTTCTCATGTGACTATTAAAAGTTCTACAAGAGAGTCTATGGTGATGATATACAAATGTGAATGTTGAGGTGGCAACTCGAGTTCTTTTTTTTCAATGAAACTAAATACTATATTATTATTCAGGTGATGTCTCAATACAAATCTATGTTTTTTACTGTTTTTTTCCATTTTGGTTTTACAGGTGCTTTTAGATATTTAACTAACAACCACACATTTTAAACGAACTTTGTATCAAATCAAATATTCCATTTATGGACAGAAAGAATAAGTTTTATATTTGTCTAATTAGTGCCCCATATATAGTATGCAATTGATCTGTATATATATATATATATATATATATATATATATATATATATATATATACTTTTGACTTGTTTGCACTTGTATGCAACAGCATCTGCCGAATTTGAAAATCATGAAACTTGCTCGTTTGAAAAACCTAATCATGACACCAGATTTTCGTGGACTTCCAAATCTTGAAAGATTCAATCTTCGTAAATGCCCGCGTTTAGAAGAGATTGATCCATCGATTGGACTTTTGAAAAAGCTTGTCTCCGTATCTATAGAAGATTGTAGGAGACTTAAGATGTTTCCACCCATTACCCAACTAGAGAAACTCGATACCCTTACATTCTCATATTGCCCCAAGCTTTTTACATTCACAGAGATCGAACAACAGAACATTAAAAGCTTACCACATCTTCATTTGGATGATAGTGAGGACGAGGTTGCATCCTATATAGAATCCGGTACAAAAAAATTTGTTACTTGGTTGACATGTTTCAGTAATCTTGGTGGTGATACAGAAGTTGAAAAACCAGTACTAGAGGATCCCATTGATGTAGAATGTTGTTTAAAGGAATCCTGTTTACCTCACACGAGAGGGTTACAATTTTTCCATACAGGCTTAACAAAGTTGAATCTCAGGCACTGCCATCTAAGAGACGAGTACATTGGCTCTGCTGTTTGGGAGTTGCCCAACTTGCAAGAACTCAATCTAAAACAAAATAAATTTTCTCGATTAAATTTTAGTCGCTTGCAACTTCCTCGGCTCAAATGGCTCAACGTGTCAGAGTGCAAAAGCCTTGTAGAATTGTCAGAGCTGCCATCAAGTATAGCTGCTGTTAAGGCGGATGATTGTGAATCACTTGAAAGCTTTGGAGATATTTCAAACTGCAAATTGTTGTGGAAAGTCTCACTCTTTAGGAAGAATAAACTTTGTGGCGACATATTACTAAACTCCATGCTCCAGGTTTGGCTTTTAAATTTAATTCTTTATTATATAAACCCAACTAAATAAGAATCATAACTGAATGTATTTTCCATGGCAGGGAAATGCTTTTGAAAATCACTTTATCAGTGCCGTTGTTAAACATCAGATGATTCCAAAGGAGTGGTTTGTAGATAGGCTGTTTACCGAGAGCACACATACACTGCATCTTCCACATGATTGGTACAGTAACTATTGTGGGTTTTTAATACGCGTTGTCACGGACATGAAATCTCCACGTATTAGTATAATCATCAAGCAGGAGGTAGAAGAAGAAGTATATTCTCGATCTGAAATTTGGCAGGAGCCTGATGAATATAATGAAATGACATTCATAGGATATGTTTCGTTTCATTCATTGAGGAACACCACATTATTGACTTCATCACACAATATCATTTCATTTTCGATACACAATATGTTTGGGTGTTCAGCTTACAAGAGTTATGTTGGTGCTGAGCTAGTTCCTAGGAAAGTAAAGGGTGATCAGGCGTTTGCAACAACAGATTGCTCAGAATTTTGGGATGATGAATGTAAACATGGAAATACGTTTACGATCAAACGTGATTCAAACACTTCTATCAATATTTTATGGAAGCCTAGCCACACCTTCTCTCCGTATGGGTATCCGTATCCATATATGTATCCGTATCCACATCCAAACGGCAAGTACTACTATCAGGTATGTGGATTATTTCTTTTGTTCTGTTCTCATTAAATAATCAGTAGTAAAGTTTATTCTTGTGAATAACAAAGTCTAGAAAAATGACATTTTCATCGTCTATCTTGTTTCCCACTATCCCCTTGATTAGGTAAATGTGACACGAATCACTGTAGTCTGAACGTTTTAGTGATCTGTTTATAAGTTTGTGATTCTTTACAGACACTAATGATTTTTCCCCACTCTCACCCTACTTCCGCTTCTACTGAATCGTTTTTTAGGATTGATTTGCTATTTTTGTTCCGTTTTGACTTTTGAGTCTTATGTCATGTAATGGTTTCTTTTACCATCGTTTAGCTTTTTCGCACATTGACAGTTTTGTTTTGCAAAATGAACAAAATCCTTTGGGTCGTTTTGATTGTGGGATTGCTTTTGTCAAATTTGGAATATTTCAGGGGATTTGGGATCAGAACGCATGGGTTTTTCAGTTCTTTTGGACGCCCCTACGTTTTGGAATGGAATTGAAATCTGATCTTTTGTAAATTCTTGGGTGGTTTCTAAATGTGCCAACGGATTTGTAATGTATATATGGTAGATGACAAAATTTTCCTTCTTTCATATTTTAAAATAGTTAGTTTTATAAATAATTATAAATTATAAATATAATGAAATTACTAATTTTGCTGTACTGTTTCTATACCAAAACTTCTTAGATGCTTAAAACAATTGACTCTTTACATATGCAATTCCAACATACAATTAATAGTTTTGATAATTGATTCTTTATATATACCATATTACCATTCCAACATTTAATGGGATATTCCAAAAAAAATGTTTGCTATCTTTAAGTCATATTTATTGTACATAAGCTGAAGTCAAATGAAGAAAAATCCAAATCAAATCGCTTCTGAACCTAGCTATTACAGAGATGAAAAACACGGTGTCTATATCTGCAGAAGAAAACCTAAAACTATGCTGCAAAATGAAATTAACTCATGCTTTTTAGCCTCATATATTTTCATCCTTGAGTAACTCTCATTGTTGCTTGTTATTACTTTGTATTCAGCTGGAAGAAGATAAGTCTTCTTGTGTAATATGTTGAGGTCCGGAAAGATAGTGGAAGTGTACAAGAAAAGTTGCAGTATGTACATGTATATTGGAGTACTTTTCAAGAACTAATGTGGGAAATGATCAATGTACAAGAAAAGATGCAGTAGGTACATGTGTACAGGGTGGCTTTTGGATTGGTGATATATAAGGACCACCGACCAAAATCAGTGCAAATGAAATTTGTTTATGATTGTGCATGAGAATGGATGTCCATATATTGTGATGACATGACTTATTTGTTCATATTTGACCTATTTATCATGGTCATATTTTAGTTGGTTGTCAAATTTGTGTCATTTCATTTTTGTGCAACCAATTTGGTAGAATAATGCATAATTTGATTAACAAACTATCACTTGACTTTATAAATTGATAGGAAATCAGTTTTATTGCATAAACTGATAAATTGTTTTTCTTTTCCATATACCAGACAAATAGCAATAATAAATAAATTGCATAAATTGTTCTTCCACTCTCTTTCCAACTTGCGACAGAGGATTTGCAGTATTGGGCTGACCACTAAAGTTAGCCTCGTAGATCTTCATGTAATGGGATGGGAGTATTACAAAATTAATGTAGGCTAAATTTATTTTGTTTAGTAAATTTCTGGATCTTTATCGGAATAAATTTAGGTGGCCTGCGTTTCATAGTAGATAATTTTCTTTATAGAATAATTGATTAATTAATGTGATTTATTTGGCTTTTTCATATTTATTTTTCTCATAACTATAATGAAATAAATAACCTGTTGAAATTGGGTAAATAAATATGGTTAAAGGAGGAGGCACGTTTGAATGTGTGATATTCATGTTCAATTGACATGACCTTATATATACTCTAGGGATTTTATAAAAAAACTACAAGTTAATTAGACATGAGCTTGTGTAATATTCATGTTCAATTCATGACCTTGTATATACTTTGCCATGTTTATGAAGAAACTAAAGTTTTAAACGTTCCATAATATTAGAAAATGATTTCAAGTTTTACATATTCTATAATTTTAAAAAAAATGATTTGTACTTAACTTAAGAAAAAACAGTTTAAATTTTTATCTTTATAAACCCTATAAAAAAAAGTCATCCATATGAATATAATTCAAGATGTCACATATTTGATATCAATAACTTGATGTTATAAAACGTATTATTGTGTGTGATTTGATGAGTAAATAGTGCAAGCATATAAGTCAAAATTTATTCGTTCCTTTTGCCCTAACGGGAAAAACGATAGCTTTGGGCCCCTCGATGATTTGATGTCGACATCTAAAGTGTTTGGTTGAGCCCGGAATAAATTGATGTGTTCAATTAACAGTCTGAATTTAGTCGTCATAAATCAGGAAATCGAGAAATTTTTTTTTTGGACAATGAGACTGATTTCAATCATTGTCTCATGTTTATACGATATCTTGTAGAACGAAGGAATATTTGATCACTTATCTTAGGACACGTAACTAATTGGGTCAGAGTTTGACAGCAACTTTTTGTGCCTACAATCTGCGGGTCAATTCGGTAGTTATACTGGCAGTTATAGTTATTAGACTTATTCAAGTGGGAGACTGTTGGATTAGGTGTCTAATCAATTAACTATAATTGATATAAACTTGGATTGATGGTAGCACAGTCCTTTTGGGTTGCCCTCAAACCTGAAAATTGAATATGATAACTTTTAGAGAGAGATTGATTATTAATTTATTATATGGTTAATAAATTAATTAGAAATCAAAATAAATGATTTGTTAATGTATTATGAAAATAATATATTAATTGGAAATAGTATTATTTAATTAATAATTAATCAAGAATTAATTGGAATTAATTTTGGGATTAATTGGATTAATTAAAAGTAGGAGGACTAAAGGTGACAATGTTTAAAAGTTAAACATCGAGCAATTCTAGAACCTCCCTAGGTAGGGGACGATTTCTAGAATGGCTTCTAGGGTTTCCTTGGGCTTTAAGGGTGCCTTGGATGCCTTAGAGAGGAATTAAAGGGATTAAGGTTATCTTTAAGATACCTGCCTAATCCAACACCTTCTTAGACTCCTATATATACCCCTAAGGGTCGAAATTCTACTCCTCTTCTCCCTCTCTCTCTCTCTCTCTCTCTCTCTTCAAGTTCCTTGGTTGCTAGAGTTTGGGTGTGAACCATCAGAGACACTACACTTATGGTGCTAGCTGACAAAGGTTTTAAAAAAGGTTAGTGTTTATAATATGTTGCCTTTACAACACCTTCCTAGTCTCCAAGATTGTTTACAATAACAATCTTTAAGGTTAGTATTATTGTCTTATGACTAAGTTTATTCATAGGAAAGTTTTGTAGGTTAGTGTTCATAGTATGTTGCCTTTACATGAAAGACATAGATCCAACTAGGTTGTATGTGCCCTAATCAATTAAGTGCTTAGTTGTTTTTCCACTTAGAGCATTGTAGTTGTAACCCCAAAAACCCATCAATTTACGTCTTTCATGTGCCTGCTTAAAGCATGTGCCCTAATCAACTATGCTGCATGTTCTCTAAAATTTACGTCGAAACATTGATCACCTTTAGTTACCGACACATATATATAAATAAATACGTATTTTTTTTTCGGTTAACGAAGGAAAGTAATTATATGTGACCCGATTCGTACGTAGGAAACATACATAAAATTAAGCATGAATATTAATAACGTCGAAACGAAGACAAACTCGAATTTAAACCGATATGTGCATAAAAAAATCAATTAATGTTTTTAAAAAAAATCAACGAAAGAAAATTCTAAATTCATGTTGAAACATTGATCACCTTGAATTTATACCAACACATATATAAAATTAAACACGTAAAAAATTAGTTTTTTTTAAGGTTAACAAACAAAAGTTACTAAGAAAAATAAAATTATATATAACATAGGGGATAAACATGACAATTTAGAAAATATAAGTGTGAAAATAGCATTTTACAAAGTTTAAAGTGAACGAGTCAAAATGAATTTTTAAAAAGTAAAGGAACAGAAAAACAAAAATTCATAAACATAAAATGTAAACAAAAAAATGCATTGCCTACATTGATAAAAACAATAAACTATATTGCTATTCACTGCATTTTTTTTTTCTTTCGGTCTTGAAAAGTAGTATTTTCAAATGTCTACATATTTTTTAAATAACATAACTGATTAAAAAGACCTATTGGAATAAGAGTTGTTTTATGAAACTTATGATGCCCAAAATCCATTGCCTACATTGATAAAAACAATAAACTATATTGCTATTCACTGCATTTTTTTCTTTCGGTCTTGAAAAGTAGTATTTTCAATGTCTACATATTTTTTAAATAACATAAATGATTAAAAAGACCTATTGGAATAAGAGTTGTTTTATGAAACTTATGATGCCCAAAATTATATTTTATAATGGAAGTTGAGGTCTCATCATTTAGAGACCGACATGCTAGTTGTTGTAACTACCAATTGCATTGGAAATATAGATTCTATTAAAATTTTGAAATGTTATATTGCATTTCAAATTACATTGGAAACACAGATGTCGTTTTCAAAAGAATTAGTTTTGTCATCCAGAAAGGAATAGCGACGCAGCTTATTGTCCGTTTGCCTTCTGTCGATATATGTATTAACTTTTTTTTTATCATTAATAATTATTTCATTTTGACTTAAAAAAAATCAATATTTTACTTCATTTCATTTAATAACATGATGTATTTTGCGCCAATTGTAGCATATTTTACATATATTTTACATTCTTATCGTTCAAACAACTTTTGATGGTGAATATTTTATTATTTTAGTTGGGATATTGCAAAATACACCTACATGCTCGGTAAGATACTTTTAGTGAAAAAAGCAAAGCCCACCAAAAGGAGCCCAATAACTTCTGTTTTTGGACTGAATAAAAAAGTGATCCGAAATCCGATTATCACATAAAAGTGGATACATATTACGGAGCTCTTCCTTCTTTTTCCCTGTTCTGACTTCTGATGATCTCATCCCTTTTCCACAATTCTCAGTTTTTCCCCGATCAAACCTGTATGCTCTATTCTCTACCCTATTTTTGTTTTAGTTTTTATAGCAGATTCAGTCATATATACGATTTTTCATGGATTAATTTGTTTTTATTTCTTGCATTCTATATTTGAACTTTGAAGTACACCGTTTGTTTTCGATTTTGCGTGATTCCTGAAAGTTATCTATTTCCTGTCCCCGTAGTAGTCAATTTGATATGATTCTTGATGTTATTTTTGGTTTCTTAGTTGAGCATTTTTGGCATCATAAATCATAGATTAATTTTAGTACCACGATATCGTGATGGATCTTGGAAATTTATCAATTGTCTTTTTTTTCTTTGTCGACCTGAAAAAACCTTCGGCCCACAAACAAAATACCCTGCAAACCACATGGACGGGACCCACGTAATACCCTACATTTCAATCTTGTTTTAAATGTGTGTAAGTAAGACCTGTTTATTTTATCTTTTAATAATGATGTTGATAAGGACTCTAGAAGAGCGATTTTCTTGTCTACTTCAGATATTGATTTAGTTTTCAGTTGAAAGATGTTAGAATTTTGAAAGTCCAGTTACTCGATATGAGTTAGTTTAATTATGTTTATGTTGAATTATAGTTATTGAGGTGTTAACTACTTTAAGTCAAATCAATTTGTATTGTTTATATTTATTGTCTATTGACAAGGTAACTTTACTGTGTTAAATTCTCATTTTGATTTTGTATTCACCTTTTAATTTGCAGTTGAAATGATAAGTCCAGATTTTTTACTTGAAACTATTTGTCATCCTAATGCTTCCCATATATAGAAAATCTTAGTCAATAGTGGTGATTATAAGTACTTGTGACGTTGATTTTGGTGTTTTGGTTTTATGCATGGTAATAGGCTAATCAATCATTCTTGTGTTTCAAATGTGCAGGCTGGCATGAAACAAAACACATCGAACAGATTGTTGATACCATTTCTGAGAAACTGGTTCCTTTAATTGCAAATATCAATAAAGATCTCACAAGGCTCGATAGTAGTCCCTTGGTTTTTTGGATTTCTTTTGTATGTGAGAATTGTAGCCAAAGGACATAAACTTGTGTGAGGAAAAACAATTGAAATTCATTGTGAACGCCTTGAGATTCCCAAGGAGTTTGACCCTCATCTGGTTGTAGGGTGAGCTCTACATTGTTATCCCCTAATATTTGTACAACGAATTTTGTGGATTCTTAATGTGTTGTTTCTACAATAAATCTGAAACAGAAAAAAGGTGCTTCGAGGGGCATGGATTCTCAATGGAAACGTGT